CTTCACTACCCAAGGGTGTCTCAGAGCGGCTTACAAACTCCTTCCCCTTCCCCTCCCCACAACAGACACCCTTGTGAGGTAGGTGGGGCTGAGAGAGCTCTTGACAGAAACAACTCTTTTTTCAAGAACAGCCCTGAGAGAACTGTGGCTTGCCCAATGTCATCCAGCAGGTGCAAGCGGAGATGTGGGGAATCCAACCCAGTTCTCCCAGATTAGAGTCTGTGCACTTAACCACTACACCAAACGCTGAACAAAAGTACTGAGGAGGGCAACCAAGATGGTGAAAGGTTTGGAGCACCTTCCCTAGGAAGAAAGACTGAAGAGTTCGGGACTTTTCAGTTCAGAAACCGGTTTCGAAAGTCACACGGCGAAATGTGAACCGTATATGTCTGAACCAATGTTCCCTCTAAGCTGTGGAGTCTTGTGAACAAAAATTCTGCTTTGTAAGCTACCGGCATTAAAGTGCTGAGCAGGTGGATTTGGCTGTTGCATAAATCAGGTTGCTCTGGAGCCCCATCCTTCCTGAGCTAAGACCAAAATCTGTGCGCTGGAGGCTCAAAAAAATGTGAGCTGGCTCACAATAACTCAGCTTAGAGGGAACGCTGGACTCTGAACTTGTGAACAGATGCCTCTCTGGGGGTGGGATCCCCAATCCATCAAGAGCACCCGCTGAACGTCGAGAGAGGAGCTCACCAGCTGCCGTGTAATAGTAGCATTCGGCGGAGGAGACGGCGTCCAGGCAGTAGATGTGGCCCTTGAGGAAGACCAGAACCCGGAGCACGAAGGAGGCCAGGTACATGCTGAGGATGACGACGTCCAGGAAGTTCCACCAGTCCAGGAGGTAGCTGCGCAGCCCCTCGATCCAGACCTCCTTGCACTCAAACCAGAAGAACCCTGAGAGAAGAAGAGGAAGAAGAAGAGATTGGATTTATACCCCCCCCGCCCTTCTCTACCCGAAGGAGTCTCAGAGCGGCTCACAAACTCCTTTCCCTCCCCCTCCCCACAACAGACACCCTGTGAGGCGGGTGGGGCTGAGAGAGCTCTCTCTCCCGAGGACTGCCCTTGAGAGAACAGCTCTGAGAGAACTTGTGACTGACCCCAGGTCACACCAGCAGCTGCAGGTGGAGGAGTGGGGGAATCAAACCCGGTTCTCCCAAATTAGAGTTTGCACTCCTAACCACGACACCAAAGGGTTAGCTTTTTAAAAGTCCTACAGAAGAGGCCATCTTTCCCCTCATTTCAGTGGCCACAACGAGACCTTTCAAAGACAGGAAAGGATATTGTGATCACCTGAGGGCAGAAAAGGTGGCCCATGGGAAAGCCCCAGGGCCGTTCCCTGCCTCGGCCGCGTCTCTCTGGCCCTCTCCAGCAGTCTGCGAGCAGCGCTGGAATCGGACCTCTTTGAAACACTGAAACTTCACAACAGCCTCATGAGGTACTTCTACTCTGTGAGGTATAATGGCTCCAAACTTACATCTGGACAAATTGGGCAAGCGACTTTGCATGGCCTGACAGGGGTGGGTGGCCGCCCCTCTGGGGAAAGTCAGAAACGGCCGGATGTGGCTGGATCTCCCCCAGGTGGGTGGTGGACCCTTCCAAAGGCCTGGCCAGCCCCCCTTCCTCAGACTGTATGAGGGTGCCTCCATCACCCGAAGTTCTTAGAAAGACAGATGAGGATCTGCCAGAAACATTTCCAAGCGAGCATCCTGTTTGCATAGGAGAAGGAGAGGGGGGGGGGGATTGGATTTACACCCCAATCTTCACTACTCGAAGGAGTCTCAGAGTCTCCTTCCCCTCCCCACAACAGACACCCTGTGAGGTGGGTGGGGGCTGAGAGAGCTCTTGCGAGGACTGCTCCTGAGAGAACAGCTCTGAGAGAACTTTGGCTTGCCCAAGGTCATCCGGCAGCTGTGAGTGGAGGAGTGGGGAATCCAACCCGGTTCTCCCAGATTAGAGTCCGCGCACTTAACCGCAACACCAAACTAGAGGGGGAGGGGCCCAGGAAGAGCAGGCCGCACCCAAGTCCACAGACTGATCTGTACCAGCCTGGACTATGGAGCAACCTGCGTCTCCACGGACACCGCTGCGCTCCATTCAGACTTATTCTACCAATCCACCCACTCCTATCCTGCCCTTCCCCCGAGGAGCTCGGAGCGGCATCTTGCCCTCATGACAGCCCTGCGAGGTAGGTTAGGCTGAGAGAAAGTGCCTGGTCAAAGGTCACCTCAGCGAGCTTCACGGACAGTACTGGAAATCGGAACCCAGGTGTCCCGGCAGTCTAACTGCTAGACCACACATTTCTCTGGCTTCTCCTCTTTCTCCCATCTTCCACTCCTGCTGCCGTGCTCTGCTCCACAGTCCCCCTTCTCGCCATGTTTCCAACTTTCCCTAGCATCCATCTTCTGCCCCCCTCTCCCTGCCAACCCAACCTCCGTTCCTGCTCCAAAGCCTTCTTCCCTCCCTCCCTCCCTCCCTTTCTTTCTTTCTTTCTTTCTTTCTTTCTTTCTTTCTTTCTTTCTTTCTTTCTTTCTTTCTTTCTTTCGTCTCTCTCTCTCTTTCCTTCCTTCCTTCTTCCCTCCCTCTCTTCTTTCCTCCCTCCCTCCCTCCATCTCTTTCTTTCTTTCTGTCTTTCTTTCTTTCTCTCTTTCTTTCCTTCCTTCTTCCCTCCCTCCCTTTTTTTTCTTCTTCCCTACTTCCCTCCTTCCATCTCTCTCTGTCACCTTCCTTCTTCCCTCCCTCCCTCTTTTCTTTCTTTCTTTCTCCCTCCCTTCCTTCTTTCTTCTTCCCTCCCTCCATCTCTCTCTCTCTCTCTTTCTTTCTTTCTTTCTTTCTTTCTTTCCTTCTTTCTTTCTTTCTCTTTCTCTTTCCTTCCTTCTTCCCTCCCTCCCTCCATCTCTTTCTTACTTTCACTCACCCTCCTTCCATCTCTTTCTTTCTTTCTCTTTCCTTCCTTCTTCCCTCCCTCCCTTACTTACTCTCTCTCTTTCCTTCCTTCCTTCCTTCCTTCCTTCTTCCCTCCCTCCCTCCCTCTCTTCCTTCCTTCCTCCCTCCATTTATT